TAGGTAATTCTCCCAGCCTCTCAGCGGTAACTGGGATGAGTTCCTCTTCTCACTGCCTTCCTGATCATGCCAGAAAGTCTGACCCCCTTTCTGGGGCGAGATATATTAGCTCAACTGGGTACTACAATACATATGGCCCCAGAGCAGGTGTTCTGCCTGCCCCTGATTGAAATTGAGATCAGCCCAGAAGTATGGGCTACACAAGGAAAGGTGGGATGGGCCACAGGACCACTCCTGTCCCAATACATCTCAAGGACCCAACCTCCTTTCCCCACCAGAAGCAGTACCCCCTGAAGCCTGAGGCTAGAAAAGGCTTACAAGTAATTGTAGAAAACACAGCCCTGCAATAGCCCTTGCAACTCCCCCATCTTGGGAGTACACCCAGCAAGGAATGGAGACGGGAATAGGATCTCCCCCTAATAACTGAGGCGGTGGCACCCTGACGCCCTGTAGTTCCTAATCCATATCCTGGGCTGTCTCAAATCCCTCAGGACTCTGAATGGTTTACGGTATTGGACCTCAGGATGCTTTTTGCTGCATTCCCCTTGGCCGGGACTCACAGTAGCTCTCTGCATTTGAGGATCCCTCTGACCAGCCACCCCACTAACTTGGACTGTGCTGGCCCAGGGGTGTAGGGACAGCACCCCGCCCCCTTGCTTGGTCAGGGATTAGTGCAGGATTTAAATCAGTTTACTTAGACTAGGATGCTACAGTAGGTAGATGATCCCTCTGTGCCCCAACCCAAGAAACCTCACAGGAGGCACACAAGCTGAAAGAGAACCATGGCCCAGCCCTGCAGGACCTCCATAAAGTGTTAGGGCTAAACCTGACCACAGGCACCAGGGCGTTGGGGGAGGACAGGATCTGACCCATCTCTTCCTTCCCACCCCCTCAGACACTCACACAATTAAGAGGATTTCTGGGGATAATGGGATTCTGTAGAAATAGCCAGACCTTTATACCTATCAGTGAAAGAGACTCAAATGAATGAAGGCCGATTTATTGAATGGGAGCCTGAGTCCAAGGGCAAGTTTAACCAGCCCCAGCCTTGAGTCTCCCCCTCCCCCACCCCCGCCCCCAGGAAAGAATTCAAACTACATGTAACTGAAGGGGGGCGGGGGGGTGGGGGGAGCCTAGGAGTTCTGACCCAAGCCCGGGCCCTGCCCAACAGCCTGTGGGATATCTGAGTGAAGAACTGGACATCGTGGCCAAGTGCTGGCCCGCCTGTTTGTGGGCAGTGGCTACTATGGTGTTGCTGGTCCCAGCGGCCACCAAGGTGACCTTAGGAAAGGACCAGATGGCACTTACTCCCCATAATATCACTATCCTCCAAAGGAAGCTTATGGCTTTCAGATAGCCATCTTCTCAAATACCAGGACAACTGTTAGAGGACACTACTGAGAGAGTTGGGGTTAGGGCTAGGGTTAGGGCTAGGGCTAGGGTTAGGGTTAGGGCTAGGGCTAGGGTTAGGGTTAGGGCTAGGGTTAAGGTTAGGGTTAGGGCTAGGGCTAGGGTTAGGGTTAGGGCTAGGGTTAAGGTTAGGGTTAGGGCTAGGGCTAGGGTTAGGGTTAGGGCTAAGGTTAGGATTAGGGTTAGGGCTAGGGTTAAGGTTAGGGTTAGGGCTAGGGCTAGGGTTAGGGTTAGGGCTAAGGTTAGGATTAGGGTTAGGGTTAGGGCTAAGGCTAAGGTTAGGGTTAGGGCTGAGGTTAGGGTTAGGGCTAGGGTTAGGGCTATGTTTAGGGTTAGGGTTAGGGTTAGGGTTAGAGTTAGGGCTAAGGTTAGGGTTAGGGCTAGGGCTAGGGCTAGTGCTAGGGTTAGGGCTAAGGTTAGGGTTAGGGTTAGGGTTATGGCTAGGGCTAGGGTTAGGGTTAGGGCTAGGGCTAGGATTAGGGTTAGGGCTAGGGTTAGGATTAGTTTTAGGGCTAGGGTTAGGGTTAGAGTTAGGGCTAGGGTTAGGATTAGGGTTAGGGCTAGGGTTATGGGTAAGGTTAGGGTTAGGGTTAGAGTTAGGGCTAAGGTTAGGGTTAGGGCTGGGGTTAGGGTTAGGGCTAGCGTTAGGGCTATGTTTAGGGTTAGGGCTAGGGTTAAGGTTAGGGTTAGGGCTAGGGCTAGGGTTAGGGTTAGAGTTAGGGCTAGGGTTAGGGCTAAGGTTAGGGTTAGGCTTAGGGCTAGGGTTAGGGTTAGAGTTAGGGCTAGGTTTAGGGTTAGTGCTAGGGTTAGGGCTAAGGTTAGGGTTAGGGTTAGGGTTAGGGTTAGAGTTAGGGCTAAGGTTAGGGTTAGGGTTAGGGCTATGCTAGGGCTAGGGTTAGGGTTAGAGTTAGGGCTAGGTTTAGGTTTAGGGTTAGTGCTAGGGTTAGGGCTAAGGTTAGGGTTAGGGTTAGAGTTAGGGCTAAGGTTAGGGTTAGATTTAGGGCTAAGGTTAGGGTTAGGGCTAGGGCTATGCTAGGGCTAGGGTTAGGGTTAGGGTTAGGAATTAGGAGTTATCGTTAGGGTTAGGAATTATTGTTAGTGATAGGGTTTGGGCTAGGGTTAGGGCTTGGATTAGTGTTAGCTTTATGGTTATAGCTAGGGTCAGCTTTAGGGTTAGGGTCAGTGTTAGGGCTAGTGTTAGAATTATGGCTAGGGCAAATTTAGGGTTAGGAATTCAGAGTTAGTGTTAGGAATTATGCTTATTGTTATGATTAGGGTTAGGAGTTAGTGTTAGGAATTAGTGTTAGGGTTAGGAGTTAGGGTTAGGGTTAGGAATTATGGTTAGAAGTCAGGGTTATTGTTATGATTAAGGTTAGGAGTTAAGGTTAGGGGTTAGGGTTAGTGTTAGGAATTAGGATTAGTGTTAGGTTTAGGAATTATGGTTAGGGATAGGATTAAGGTTAGGGCTAGGCTTAGAATTAAGAATAGGCTTAGGGTTAGGATTAGTGTTAGGAAGTATGTTAGGGTTAGTAATTAGGATAGGGTTAGGTTTCGGGTTAGGAGTTAGGGATAGCGTAAGGAGTTAGGGTTAGGGTTATAGTCCAAATAAAAACTTGCAGCTTTGTTATCTAGTCACGTTCCTTCCTGAAGGAAAAGAAATAACATACCATGACCGTTCACGGGTAGTCCTGCAAACCCATGACCCCAGAGAAGATTTAATGGAGAATTTCCTAGAATGTCCGTTTATGACCTCGCTCAGGTGTGGGTTCCTTCTTGGAACATGGGGGGCATGGGCCTGGTTACGCTGTGGTCCGTGCTCTGCAGCACGCTCCCCTCCCTGCTGGCACTGCCGCTCAGTCAGCTGAGCTGATCACCCTTGTGCAAGCACTGGCGTTGGGGCGGCCGGAGAGTAAATATACACACTGACTCTAACTATGCTTTCTGAGTTCTCCAGGTCCCTGAGGCCATCTAGAAATAAAGGTATTTCTTTGCCTTTAAAAAAAAATATTTTTATTGATTTCAGAGAGGGAGAGGCAGAGATAGAAACATCGATGATGAGAGAGTATCACCAATGTTTGGGATCAAGCCTGCAACCTGGGCATGTGCCCTGACTGGGAATTGAACCATGACCTCCTGGTTCATAAGTGCATGCTCAACCATGAGCCACACCAGCCAGGGGGTAAGGACCCTTCTTGACCCCCATTAGATCCCCTAATAAATACCATAAGGGGATTGATCGGCTCCTGTCCTCAGTACACCTCCCCTCAGAGGGAGCTCCCTCACATTGCTAAGGTCACCAGAGGAGCTGATTAGGCCACGAAAGGAAATACACTAGCTGACGTGGCTGCCAAGGCAGCAGCCAGAGCAGGACTCTAGTTCCTTGGATTCCTTAGCCTGTGTGGACTTGGTTAGTCGTGTAGCCTTTGATTACCTCTTGGCACAACCAGGAGGAGTCTGTGCAGTGATAAACAGTACTTCCTGCTCTGACGTCAATAATTCCGGCCACATGAAGACAAACATAAGAAAATTTTATGAACAAGCAGAATGGCTGTATAAGTACAACCAATGGGCCCAGACACTGGGTGGTCTCTCTCTCTCCCTGGCTGCCTAGCATACCTGGGCTCTTACCCTTCCAGGCCCCCTGATCTCTGAAGTGCTCTTCCTAATTTTTGGACCCTGCATTTTTAACAGCTTAGCCAAATTTGTGCTTTCTCGCCTAGAATCCTTCAAACTACAAATAGTTATGGAAATGGAACCCCCACATGGGTAACCTGATTTTCTGTGGCCCTCCAGATCGTCCTCTCCTGACAGAATCCTGCTTGTGGGCTCCTCACAACACCCCCCCCCATCCACGCCTCCCCCCCCCCCCCCCCACACTCAGCAGGAAGCAGCCAGAGTGATCATCATCCCAAATCCCTTATGGCAGTTAGGTTACTGCATTGGCGGGGAGAGGGGGTATGAGGAGTCAAATGAGATCAGGTAGTTTAGGGTAAGGGCCTGGGGAGGGAATATGGTAAATTAGGAGGGAATGAGCCAAATGGTCAGGATGTGAGCAAGATAGACTGAATGGACCAGTCACCCATAGAGCTGCCCTTCCCCCTGAACCTGAGAGTGGGAACTAAGGGGAAGATGAAGGCAAAAGGAGATTGGCTGGTGTTATTTTTGAAAGAGCCAACAGGAGGCAAGAGCAGGAAATATAAACCCCTAGACTGGTCAGCTTCTGTGGGAACCCTATTTGGGACCCCTTAGCCTGCTGAGAGCTTTGCTAACTTTCACTGTAATAAACTTCATTTCCCTTTGCTTACTCCTCCTTTGTCCGTGAATTCATTTGTCCACTTCTTGAGACAAAGAACCCAAACCAAACCAACAGCTCAGACTCGTGTCTCACTGTGACCTCTCTCACCAGCAGGATCACATCCTTTGCTTTTACAACTGAATATTTGCTCATATGGCTAGCAATGTGTGTGGGCTCTAAGAAATGAAGTTAAACCCTGTCTCTCTTGTCTCCAACCTGTGACCCGAAAAATCCAGCATGAAATTAATCTCAAAATGTGTCTTATTTAGGGATTATTAATGATCAAGTGATACAGTTTAATTAAAATCATTTATTCTCAGTAAAATCAAACATATCATTGAGTTTACATAGAAATACAATTTTCAACGGGATCTTCATAAAAATGCACTGGTGAAACAAATTTTTATAATCAATGACCAATTATGGATTGTTTAATCATGCCAGTAGCAGAATTGATTACCTGATTACCATTAAAAATTGGTAAAGTAATGTATCTTAAATGTGCAAATACCATCTTAAGTATTTTATTATGTTACCATTGATAATAAATGGCCACTAAATATATACCTATTACATAAAGCTTTTTAAAGTACAATAAAAATACAAATTCTATCTGTTAAAAAAAGCCATTGATATGGCTTCTAAACGTCCTCATTATACAAATTCCAAAATACTATATGACAAACAAAATTATAAAGACTTTTCTTTATGAAACATATACTACCTTCTAATTAAGGTACAACCTAACAGATACCAGAAAACAACCAAGAAGGCTTACATATATCATAGACCCTTATGGAGATACATACAAATAGAATATTGCATAAGCTGTTCGATTTCTTTTCCTAGTGAGAATGTACCTTCACTTGAAGAAAATTTCTGAGAGTAAAAGAGACAGAGAATCTGCTTTGGAGGCCTCCCAGCAATGCAGCCTCGTTCATTGTCCTCACATTGTGATGAACCAAATGGTAAGTTTTAACGGTAAATTTTGGTTGTACTGCGTAACAATTATTATTCAAGTTAAAGATAAACTGAGCAGCAACTTGATTTTTGTGAAAAAAAAAAAAATGAGATTCCAATGTCAACAACAAAACATTAAATTTGCTAAATAATATTGGTGATTGATGAAGAGGAGTTTCTATAGACTGTATAGTATCAAAACTAATGAGACAGCACAATATTTTGAGACAAAAATATATTTGGTAAAATAAATACGAGTAACAGACAGTGCAGCTATAGACAGCAAACATTCCAAATGCTTTTTCAGGAAACATGAGATCGAAGGATATCTATATGTTTAGTAACGTAACTTATCTAATTAGAACTTAAACTGTGTTTGCTAAAAAGGAAATTTTACAGTTTCCCACAATATCTGTTTATGAAATAAAATATTTAGAGTATAACTGATGATAATGGCTAACATTATTACTTTGCATCTACCAATACTCTACATACATTTGGTTTAATTATAATAGGCATTTATATGTTTGTCATTTCACCTATCAAAAATGACTTAGTGGCATTATATTCAAAGTTTACATTTTCTCAATGATAGGAAACAGCGCTTCGTACATAAAATGACATCTGGTATCATGTTCATTAGTTTGAATATAGTATTCAGTTTGGCATTGGTATATCTCTTTAGGACTTTCAAAGGTTTCATTAAGGTATGGCTTTTGGGAAATCAGCACTAAACTAGCAGCCTGGAGTCTGAACACAGATTTCAAGATGCGAATGCTGTAGAACTCAAACACAAGAGAGATATTTGGATCATTTGTCCTCTGATTAGAAATTCTTTTACAACAGAAACAGACAGGAACATAAAAGAATACAGTGAGTTGTTTTTAAAATAAAATGTTACAGGTCAATAGTGAAGGTATGAGGAAATTTTACGGAAATAATTTTCAGAAAGTGAAGATATTAAAAAACATATTGGCACATGGGTAAGACCTGTTGTAAAGCAATCACAGACGTACGTGCAGATCAAACAAGTTTAACACGAACCAGGCGCTCTCCTCTGACATCAGCACTTGCTGTCCACGGGGTCCAGACAAAACACCGTGCCTTCCAGAGTTAGTCCCATTTTGAACCCCTCCTGTAAAGCAGAGAAAAATCATTAAAGTAGGAGAGCACCTGGCAATAAATAAATACATAAATAAATAAAATCAGCAAATCAAAGAGACTATGAACAAAAGTTGAAATATTCAGGCTTTGAGCGACTAAGAAATAATTCAATGTCAGAATGTCGGCTTGTCAAATTTTCACGTAGGTGTACACCCCAGGCAGATCTTGACACCCATTAGCAGAACAAGCTTTCTTTACGGAGTCCCCATTAAACTAATTTAATGACTATGTAGCATCAGCCTATTATTTCTTAATATGATTTAACTGTTTCCCGTATTTTGCCATTTCTAAGATGTGCTGTATTATTTTCCATAATCTTCACACTTATAATTATTCTCTCCTCAGAAAAGACTGTATTAACTTGAAGAATACAACATGAGTATTAGTAGCAGAAGGCACGCGGGGACTGACCCTGGCCCGCAGTTAGTTGGCGTTTGCTCCGTCACTTGCACTAGTGTGATTATTAGTAAGAAAATGATACTTATAATTTGCTAGATTATAGTACTTTACTTAATTTGTATGTTTTCTCTGATTAGACTGAACATGTCTACATGTTTACCAGCCACTTGGTTTTCTTTTGTGAACTACTGTTATTTTTTTAAAATTCATCTGTTGATTGTTTAGTTTCTTAATCATTTGTCTATGTACTTTAATTACGTATATTTGACACAGTTATATTATTAAACAGAAATTTTAAAAGAACTATGGAAGTTCTTCTGTAAAAGACTATATGTTTATATAAAATATGCCCTTATAAAAATTTCTCTCCAAATAATAGGTCTGATATTCATATTGCAAACATTTAAATCTGTCTACCGCTTATGAAATGTATTTGAATATTTGCTGTGTCCACTATACTGGCACATTGATCCTCCGAGTTATTAACCAGTCCACTTCACATCACTTAATGCACAATTCTTTCACCATTCACTGACTTTCCAGGTATTACGTTGTTATAACTTACAAGGTGTACTTCTGGGCTGACCATGCTATTTTATACTGATTTCCCTGCTGACGTCATGTACCAGAAGTTTAAATTATGTCAAATGAAGAACCTGAATTTTTGATTTCAAATAAATATCTAACTTTCTAGCAATTTATAATGAAATATGGCTTAACATTTTTTACTAAATTGTACATGTATGGGATGTTTCTGTGACCTTTCTCTGTCAATAAAAAAGGGAAACCAAATATTTCAGTAGGCTTATTAACTCAATATGATGGTTTACGACACCTATTATACTGTATAAATGTTTACATTCAATGCAAAGATAAAAATAGTAGCTAACTGTGCATTTGATTAATTAAGCTAACAAAATAAATAATAGAATCATCATAGACTTTAGATGAAAATGTTATTTTACTTTAATTGAAGTGACCTTGCAAGTTATTCCTGGACTCAAAGACACAGGCAAGCAATGATACGGACAACACAATAGTGACTATGTCGTTGAGAAAATACTTTAAAATATGGGTTGTAGGGTCCCTTTAAACACAATTAATAATCAGATACATCCATCTGAAACTGCTGTTTGAATATTTCTTAAACAAAGCATGCAAATCTTACAGTTTTAGCCTTAAAAAGTTGCAAGCTGTTTAAAATTATTATAAAAATAATATACCAACCATCTCTGGCGCTACCCACCATGAAAGCAGAAAAGAGAAGACATTAAGAAAATATTAGAAGTGGCAAAAACGAAAGTAACAGCAAAAATACCACAGCTCAACATTCTCTGTCTAACACATCATGAAGCCATTCCACACCGTGCTTCTCAAAGCCGAGTGCCGGCAAAGATCTCAAGTTGTAGGCTTATCTTCAAAAATGCATAGAAAAATTTTCAATTTTGTGAAAATCTAAAAAGCATTGATAAGAAAGTACTCTTTATGATTTGTTTAAACTTGAGAACAAATACTATCACATCACTGCCCATAGGTGCATTCGTCCTTCCAAAAGCATAGCCATGGATTCCATGTGGCAGAAATACAGCGTTCCTGACAAGTTACCGTCACTATTTGGGTGAAAGTTTCACAGTATTTGGAATATAGCAAAGAGATGGCGACACTAAGACGAACAGAAGGTTTGATACTGGTGATTTCAGTTTCAGCTAAATAACATCATTCATCCTGTTATATCAAAGTTCTTAGCTTGGATTTTATTAAGTGTTGTAATTTTTTTTATTTAATTATGATTTTTGAATTAATATTTGTCTGAGAGCTTCAAGGATATGTCTTTGATAAAAACTAGCAAATAATAACTTCACCAAATTATAAAGAGAAAATGAAACAGGAGAACTTAGTGTTTATAAGAACATGGATTAATCATGGCCCATTCTATAGCGCTCTTAAAACCAGGATCGTCAAACTTCCAGAGCAGCTCAAAACTGGAAAATGAAAGGGAGAGAAAGAACAAAACCCAACTGAACGACATTCCTAAAAAGCTGGCGACCGGCTTCTGTTCTTCACCAAGAGCCCAAGTCACACACTGCCCTCCAATGCCTCTTTCAGGAGGGGCTGACGTCAGCCTGACAAAGGTTTTCCTTCAGCCACCCAGTCACAGTTTTGAAATTCATAATTGTTAAGACTGAGATAGAATCTTATAAATCCAGTGTAATGACCTTTTAATTCTTGGATTTCAAAATAATGAGCCATCATGCATAAGAACATGAACCATTGTATTGCCGTTGCAAGTTGCACCATTAAGAACCAAACCAAACCTCATCCTTAGCGTCTGCAGGAGTGTTTATAGGACTAAATGCATATTATTATTGTAAAGTAATTACTTTAAGTACGTTTTCATAGTGATAATAACTCAAGGAAAGGATAATGTGGGTAGACAGGATCACATATGAAAAGGAAAAATCCATGTCTGGGCCAATCTGTTGGAGAGTCTATAGAATCACATATTAAAGAGAGAACACCAGGCCTGGGCCGATCTGCCGGGTAGTCACCTGCATTTCATCGAGTTTTGATTGAATGTCAGGAGGGAAGTCGCCTGCCGCACAGCTGAACGGGTCGAAGGGCTCTGCTCCAAACAGGTCTCGTTCTGGACAGAAGACAAGACGTGGTGTATGAACACAGAGGCCGATCGCGTAAAGAAACCCCGCATGACAAGCGAGCTGCTCGCCCTGTGCGCTGGGCTTTCCCAGCCTCAGGCTTGTCAAATACCAACCAGAAGCACAGACTCCCTTTAGGATGCGTCTTTAACGAGGCCTCCCTAACATCAAAGCCACCGAACACTTGGTAATTAATGCACTACAATACCTACATGTTATTAAAATGAATGTGCTCCTACCGAGACGTCCCAATTCCATTCACGGACCTGGTTGTGAAGCAACGCGCAGGACTGACGAGGCCAGGAGGCAGTTTTACTCAGAGTTCACGTATGAATCTCAGAAAAAATTTAAGGGATCTCATCTCATGTGGTGTGAATTCATGTCACCTTCCTAGAAAACCCTTGATCCCAGTATCATCCCAGCATCAAAAAGCTCCCTGTACAGATATTTTGAAGCATACTTTTTCTTAATCACAAAGACGTATCCAAGTTAAAATCGATGGCTGTGATTGATAAGGCTATGACCTATTATTTAATTGAAAAAGAAATTTTTTAATGGTTAAGAAGTTTCTTTCCTCTGAATCAATTCAAATAAAACCCTAACAGACGATAAAGGAATTTCAAGTTATCGATGGGCCTGGGAAGTTATAATGTAGTAAGACTTTCATTTTCAGGAAACTGTAACCACACTCTAAAGTCAAGGCTGGGTAAGAAATACTACTCAAGCTACTTGTATCCTGGGCATCGCTCCTTCCCTCCCATGATTCTTGCTTCTCCAGTTATAACTTTGGGGCGTCAGATTCATATATGAAATAAGTTAATAAATGACAAATGCTTAGAAGTCCCTGGTTCTGGTAAGGATTGTATAAACCTAAGAGGGACATATCATTTATCACCCAAATAAAGACACTCTGAAGAGTGAGAGGTCTCCCACCAGTTGTAAAACAGCGGTGAAGGAAGAGTGTCGGACATGCAGAAGGACAAAAAACAGCCCATGACAGCATCAGGATATTGGCAACCTTTTCTAAGAACATGATGGTGGGTGTATTGGCACAAAATATACCCAGAGGGAATTGTGTATACATTTCAAATTAGGTAAAGTATCGAACGCTCCCATCAACAGACTTTTAAAGTCCCTGATGTTATTCCTCCGCATTTACGTTCGTCTTCTAACGTCAATGGCTGCCTCACATGGGAATAGACGTTTCGTTTCACAAAGGGACACACACCAACCAGGGCCCTGCCATGCTGTGAGCCTTACGCTCACACTTCAGAGTCACACTGAAGCGTGTTCCTGTGATGGAGAGAGGGTGCAGGAGAGCAGACTGTGTCAATTCTCCTTCCTTCAGGTTCCCTTTGGACACGGAGCCGGTGCCGGATCACGGCCCGTGGGAACTATGCTTCCGGTTTCTGTGACAGGGCGCAGCTCAAACATTCAAGACAATTAACAGTGAGCGTCTGTCGGCTGCTTTCCAGTTCATCAAAAAGAGACTCTCACGTTCCTTCTAGATTCAGAAGGTGAATCAGAAAAGCAACACCTTTCGAGCATTTCAGATGTCAAAGAAAGAACGCTTCTGTAGGAGTAATAAATGAATCATGGAATGCATAGATTTATGTATTTCTCCCACTAAGCTTATCCCAAAATTTACACTGAGCTCCGTGAGACATGTCAAAATCATGAAAATTCCCACCAGAGTTGTTTTTAATCACTAAAACATTAAAAATACAGCCCCAATATAACCCAATAAAAATATAACTCAATGCTTTGTATTATAATGTAAGTAACCCTACACCAAAATGTCATTTTCATACAATTTTAAATGTAAGTAATGTCTGTAGTAGTATACTCTGAAGTATGAATGTGACACATGTATACTTTGTAAACATAATACTGTATGCACATGTAAACATAACACTTTGGTAATTAAAAAATTTAATGAGCCCAGCCAGTGTGGCTCAGTGGCTGAGCTTTGACCTATGAACCAGGAGGTCTCAGTTTGATTCCCGGTCAGGGCACAGGCCCCGGTTGTGGGCTCGATCCCCAGAGTGGGGCCTGCAGGAGGCAGCCGATCCATGATTCTCTCTCTCTCTCTCATCATTAACGTTTCTATCTATCTCCCTTCTTCTCTGAAATCAGTAACAAAAATGTTATAAAAAAATTTACTGAGCTTGCTAAGATATCTAATTTCACATAAAGTGTTCATCAGCCATCACAATGTACACGAGCGCAGCAGGCATAGTGACGTGTGTCGGAACTTACTGATCTCGGCAGCTCTGCCAGGCACGGGGGGCGGCTGCGTGCCGTTGGGCGTGGGCACCGCCGGCGGGTGGGAGGTGGGGGAAAAGGGAACCATGTCGAAGATGTCCGTGGAGGGCGACTGAGGCGACACGCTGCCGGCCTGCGGTGAGAGAAGGTAAGTTAGTTCATGTGGACACACTGCCATGCGAACTACTTCATATACATGTAAAACGTATGAACAACAAATTCCGTGAACCAAAAACAATGACATATTGGCAATTTCATATGGTCCACACAGCTATGCTAAATGCTCATGGGCAAGAGAACAAGAGAAAATTTCTGCAAAAATGTCCTCAAAGATGAGGGCAAACCTAGTGACAATACTGTTCTCGGGAGATACGGAGCACACGCTGGATTTTTCATACATCCAGAAATAACTGCCATTTGTATCAGAGACCTGAACATGCTAGAAACTATAGAAAACATGATGTCAGTAATAGATCTTGCATAAAATTATAAGTTTTAAACAAAAACAATTGAACATAAGTAATTGAACCTTCTTAGATAAAACCATATAAATGCAATGATAACAAGTTTCACAGTTTTTAAGGGTGTGTTTCAATTTATATTTATAACCACAGTGACAGCCAACTCTTACACACATTGCAGTGCCTTTTCTGCTGACTAAGATTTCACCAAGTTTTTTATAATAAAACCCTACTTTGTGGTTTAAGTTAATAATCACCGAATACACCACCAAGATCATTGCTATCTGGGCCAGGGCATCATGACGGAATGAAATAATCATCACTGTGTCATTCAGGGGAAAATGCACACACACACACACACACGCACATGCACGCACGCACACACACACACACACGCGCACACACATGCACACACACACACACATGCACACGCACGCGCACACACACACATGCACACACACACACGCACACGCACACACAATCCATAGAAAGGAAAGAAAGAAGTCCCACATCGGAAAGGGATGGTGAGAAAACGTTTCCTTTTCCTACGAGAACGTAAACAGAGAACGCTTTGAGTAGTTCATGTTAAAGTGACAGAATGCATTTATTTTTCTGAGTCACAGACGATGAAAACAATGAACACTAAAAAGGCTGCTTATGTGTAGAGATGACAGACCTGCCATTAGCAGGATTGCTAGCGCACGTTTCCACGCAGGAAAATCGCTGTCATCTTCCCCTTTTACCATCCTTCCCTTTAACATAAATACTATCCAAAGCCTCAGGCAGCCTCACCCTCACCCCGTCCTCCGCAGGAACGCTGCTCTGCGAACCCCCGCCCTGGCGTCCTCCTCTCTCACCTTCCTCAGAGTACCAAGAACTCACATCTCAACTGCAGTCAAAAACAGACCAACCAAAGATGTCTCGCTCTGTCCCTCTCTTTTCCTCTCTCATCCTTTCTCTTCCCTCCCAGGCTCAGCTCCCTGAGGAAGGCACTACCTCTCCTGCCCCAACTTGTACTCCATTCAACCCTCGACGCCTTTCAAGCTAGTCTCTGCCGTTTAGGCATGAACTCGACCGAAACTGCTCCCGCCAACGTCACCGATGACCTCCTGTCCCATCTGCTGCATCGAAGGGTCCCTTGAGGTCCCCGTCCCCTCACCTTTCTGGGGGTTGGTGCACCACCCACACCCTCCGCCTGGAGCTCTCTGATGTCAGGCGACCAAAGGCCCAGATCCCATTGCTCAAGACACACCGCACTGCCCACTGCCTCTAACAGCACGGCCGGCAGAATTAAAGAAGATAAGAGGGAAGTGAAGAGAAGTTTCCGTGTAGAAAATTACATGCGGTCTCGGGGTGTGGCTCCCGCTGACGGGCCGGGGAAGGCCACACTTAGGAGGCGGCGGTGTTATCCCCAGCGACAGCCTGGAGGCGGCCGCGTGAGCAGGGCTGGCGGGAACGGGGGGAAGGTTCAGACAGGGGGGCGAGTGCCGGGGTCCAACCCCAGCAGGTCCAGGGGTCCCCAAAGGTGTGGATGGAGTCGGCGAAGAAGGAATGACACGGAGACAGTGTTCAGTTGATCAGCAGCCTAGCCAGGATCTCCAGCCAGGATCTCCAGCCAAGTTCTGGTCTGGATCTCCAGAGAGGTTCTGCCTTGGATCTCCAGCCAGGTTCTGTAGCCATGTTCTATTGCTATGTTCTCCAGGCAGGTTCAGTAGCCATGTTCCCTCGCTAGGTTCTCCAGCCAGGTTCTGTCCAGGTTCTCCAGCCAGGTTCAGTCACCAGGTTCTAGTCAGGTTCTCTTGCCAATTTCTGTAGTCAGGTTCAGTCCAGGATCTTTTGCCATGTTCTCTCCAGCGAAGTTCTTCTGTCTGTAGTTCTGTGTAGGTTCTGTCTTCTTAGTTCTGTGTTCTAAGCTCTGTATTCTAAGTTCTGACTCTTGCTGTCTTATTACATCTGTATTTATACCAGTTGATTCAATCCTATCAATCTCTATTACAAAGGTTAGGGCGTTTCTTATCTCCATTCCAGGGAGTAAAGATTATGTAGCTTAAGCATGATTGTTCATAGTTAAAGTGATTAATTACCCGCCTGGCACTTAGTTGAGGGGTTTTATTCCCTCCCTAACTTCAGGGGAAAATCCCTACCTGGGGAAACAACCTTTCTCAGAGAGGAGACCTTGGTTAAAACACATAGTGCCAAGAAGGTGAGCAAACATTTTAAGAACAGTATGCCATATATGCCAGGTCCCTTGAAACAGCAAGCATGGACCGGCTCCCGGCAGGCGAGTCCTCACTCGAGCGCCAGAGTGGGGACGCACAGCGCTGGGGCCCGCGGGCAGACACCGTGAGCAGCAGCTGGAAGAAAGGACAGAGAGAGGCTCTCAGGAGACGGAGGGACAAGGAGGAAAGTGCACACGGAAACTTGTTTGGAAAATTACAGCGTGTGGGAAGGACAGGCGCCTGGGAAAAACGTTACTAATATTGGAAGGAATATGAGTAGAGGCGTCTAGTAGAGCTGGTGTTCCTGTTGTGACCGTCCTTACATTCTGGATCCACTGATTTGGCCTTGTCCCGGGGCGATGCCCGGGCTCCGAGTTATTTTGCTGCTGAGACGAGTTCTGTGCCCGCACGGAGCTGGTCATGGCGCAGAAGCTACTGGACACGAGTGAGAGCGCCTGCGTCTGAGGTCCCTGCTCCTGGGCGCCTGTGGCTCCTTCTCCAGGAGGTGGGGGCTGGGACACGCGTGGGGGATGTGCGTGAGGGACATGCTTGGGGGACGTGCTTGGGGGACGTGCTTGGAGAGCACGTGTGGGGGCTGGGACATGTTTGGGGGACATGCGTGGAAGACATGCATGGGGGATGTGCTTGGGGGACCATTTTAGCTTTGAGCTGTGCCCACATAGAAGGTGTGGCGGTCTGACTCCTGGCAGTAAATGCTGTACGCATTTCATAAAAACACTGAACGAAAGACTGCACATTTCTGTGGTGATGTCTATAGGAATATGAGCATGACACCAAAATTTTACTTTATGCTGTTATTTTGGTGCCATCAATCTTCCAAGACCCTTTTAAAAATGTAAAATAACTTTAAGGTTAAAATATGATTTATCAAAATTATTAAAATAGAGGTTCAATATTCTACTTAGAATGAAATTTAAAAAGTAAATTACTTATATTTATTAATATGAAGGTCTAAATTAAAAACTTCTCATTAAAAATGGTTAAATAAGACTAAAGATGGGAAATATAATAGTAATGTAAAAAGGTTCCAGCAATACGTTTTATCCTGCCATGCTAATTCATGCTTTTAAAGTCCACTGTTAGGGCACATTTTCGATATCCCTTTTTATTTATTTAGATTTAATTTTTTTATTTTTAAAATATATTTTTATTGATTTCAAAGAAGGGAGAGGGGGAGAGAGAGAGAGAGAGAATCATCAATGATGAGAGAGAATCACTGATCAGCTGCTTCCTGCACGCCCCACCCTGGGGATTGAGCCCACAACTTGGGCAGGTGCCCTGACCGGGAATCGAACCATGACCTCCTGGTCAACCACTGAACCATGCTGGCCGGGTTACATCACTTTTTAAATAAGTAACAACTTCTAGAATTTAGAACTTACAGCATCATGGATGTATTTTTTCAGCTTTCTCGATCCACAATTTGTTCATATTGGTTTCTTAGTTATAAGACCCATTATCATCGTATATGTTCTTACAAGAATTCTGCAAATCACATGGCTACCACGTCCACTCTCTCAGAGAGGACACTGACACGAGGAGAGCTGAGTGCTGAATCAGGGACTCATGGTCGGGGCCGGATGGAGTATTTTTTCTTCCCATGAGACAAGGGTTTACTTCTGCAGATTGTCGTCTGGAAGTGAAGTCATGAAAGAGAAGCTGAGGACTGCTCAGCGCATCCTGTGGGCACCAAGTGTTCCTGAGGCAACGCGCATGTTTAAAACGGGGGCCTTTGTTTACAGATTCCCAGTGGGCTTGTTTGTGACGGGGCGTCTGCACCATCTGCCCCTGCCCATCCCCACTTCCCTCGTCGCTGAGAAAATGCCGGAGGAAGATAAACTGTTCTCTCGCAGGGAGTCCACTCTTCAGCTCCGTCAGCGGCCCCGCGGCCGACCACGCGACGGCAGGGCCTGCCGGTCTCATGGGTCTCATGGAAGGAAGACATCGTGTTCCTCAGCAACAGAACGCCCAGTGGGTCTCGGGACGACAACTTTGTTCACTTCACTTCCTGGCAAGAGCCTGGTTTGGTTAAAGGCTCCTTGAGCCAGAAATGTACAATGTAAGCACCCAGACACGAGAATCAAGAGCAGGGATTGGATGTCACTGCTGTGCCCACATCTCATAATGAAGCAGCCCTCTGGAGGCGGCCACGCGGCCAGGAGGGCAGAACAAACCCCTTTTCTGATATAAATACAGGCAGCACTGCCATGTGAACGCAATAAATGGAAATCAGATTGTCCCGAGATAATTAGTACCAAATGGTGGAAAACCAACCTCTGATCTACTGCCAAACCACCACAGCCCAGCGCAGAGCAAACAGCACAGCCAAGTAACGGAAAGTTCTCGCTGTATCGAAACGCTGTCCTAAGAAGGACCCGGCTTCCAAAAGCCACGGGAAGCCGCCCGCCGTGTCAGTGGGCACAGGGGCGTGGACACAGCCTGTCGGGGCGACTTCACTCGCGGAAAAGGGACCAGGGACCACCGTCGTGTGTCCAGGAGACAGGCCAGCGTGCTGGTTGTTCGGTACAAGCAAAGACACAGCATGTGACTTACACACGAGAAAATGAAAAGCAGGAGTGGTCTTCATTCATCACGCACTTAAGGAATTGGCTTTAGGTGAAAGGGGGCTTGGGACATTTATGTCTATTAAAGATACACCTTCTTCGTCGTGAAAAATGCCTTTTCCTTTTAATACTGAGAGCAAACAAAAGAAAAAGTCTCTTAGCTGTTTTCTCTGGCCTGAACTAACCTACTCCTTCAGCGCCGCAGGAGCAGACGGACCCTGGGAGCGTGAGCTAAAACCACCGACAAGAGTTCCCCCGATGACAGAGGAAGAGCAAGCGTTTCATTCGGGGCCCACACCACAGGCTCGCCCCTCCTTGAGTCCCAGGTCTGTCTCTTCTGCATCCACTGAACAGCTCCGCCCAGTAGGCAGAACTCAGGTGAGCAAGAGTGAAATACTGCTTCTTACTGCCCCCTCCCCCGCGTCACGTCTACTTCAGAGGGCGGCACCCGTACCCCAGGCTCAGGATGAAACCTTAAGGGACAATCCTGGCCGCTCTCTTACTCCAGGCGCCCACCAGCCATCAGGAAATCCTGCAAACTCCGCTTCCACGCGCATCAGGAATCACGCTCTGCTGACGGGCTCAACTGACAGACGTCTAGACCGACCGGCCTCCTCCCGCCCCCTCCACGGCAGGAGCGGCCTGGCCAGTCTGGGACCTCACTCTGGCCTCTTGACACGCTTTTTTTCAATTGATTTTTAGAGCGAGAGGGAGGGAGAGGGAGAGGGAGAGAGAAACATCCATGATGAGAGAGTCATGGATCGGCTGCCTCCTACACGCCCCCTACTGGGGATCGAGCCGCAACCCAGGCTGTACTCTGACCGGGAGTCAGACCTGGGACCTCTTGGTCCATGGGACAGTGCTCAACCATTGAGCCACACCGGCCGGGCCATTTTGGCCTCTTCGTAGCCTGTGGTGCCGGCAGCAGCCAGATGATGCCCTAATCCCGACCTCTCCCCCACGGCAGTTAAACCACAACAACAACACTAACAGCTCCGCCCTGGCCCACGGGCCCTGAGAGACCCAGACCTGGACCTTCCAGTCACTTCCACGTTGCTGGCTCTCCCTCCAGGCGCCGGCCGTGCCTGTTCTGGCCGTCTGCCCTGACGTTCATCCGCCGCCTCCATTCGCATGCCACCATCTCTCTAAAAGGCTCCCGCCCGTTCTCTTCCTTCCTGCTCCATGTCACTCAGAGCATCTCTCAGGTGGCGACTGCCCGGGGATGGGAGGGGGAGGGGAGGTGGAGGAGAGCATGGGGGGGTCAATGGTGATGGAAGGAGACTTGATTTGGGGGGGGGCACGCAAAACAGGGTACGGATGATGTGTCGCAGCGTCGTGCCCCTGAAACCTGTATGATTTTGTTCACCAGTGTCACCTCCATAAATTCACCCAAAATAAAAATAAATAAAATGGGGGAGGCGAAAAAGCCATAAACGTGATGAGAAGCGCCTGGCAATGGCAGTGAAGAGGAAGCAGTCGGAAGGAACGGCAGAACCAGCCGGAACCGAGGAGGACGCGCCAGCACGTCGTCATGCACGACAAAGGCGCGAGGGCACAGGCCTCACTCCGTCTGCTCACCTGGCCCTATCGCCCCACGGGCACCCACTACTTGCCAAGCAGGGGATGATGGGGAGGGGGTGCAGAGGGAAGCATGTGTTTTGACCCACTTCCAGGGCACGGCAAGTGTGGAACCCTAACTATCTCCTCATAGAAGCATTCTTCAGGGCGATGAGCTGGGGAAGCATTCTATCTGGCACTAGATGGCAAACAGACCTATGTGCTAAAACGTGTTCCCTGAGTCGGCCTGGTGATTGAACCAAAATGAACTTGCAAATAAAAATTTACAATAAACATTCTTTTCAAAAGTTTGCAAATGCTATCATTATGTCTCAGTGCATAGTATATGCCGTAAGTGATACATTAAATATTTTTCAAATACAAAATAATGCCCAGCCGGTGTGGCTCAGTGACTGAGCGTCAACTTATGAACCTGGAGGTCATGGTTTGATTCCCGGTCAGGGCACATGCCTGGGTTGTGGGCTTGATCCCCAGTGTGGGGTGTGCAGGAGGCAGCCGATCCATGATTCTCTCTCATCATTGATGTTTCTATCTCTCTCCCTCTCCCTTCTCTGAAGTCAATAAAAATATATATTAACAAAAATACTAGATCAGGTATACACTTTAATGGAGAAAATCATCAGTACACATGATTCAAAAAGAAAAAATATCCTAAATATATTTTGCCTAGGAAAAATATTGTTTGAACTTCCATTTCCCTCCAAAAATGTTACTTAGCCAAATCACAAAATAATGGTATCTTTCTTGGTATTGGGAAGAGGATCTAACATTTCTGAGAAACCAAAGGGAAATCATTTCACCATAAACATTGAGTGTTGTCTGAAGAGACTACCCTTCATGTCAGTGTCTGAAATACGCTGTGTCGCTCCCCGTGGGAACCGGGCTGTGCAACGTAAGAAAGCAGATTTGGTCTTGGTGATAGTCCAGCTCTAGGAGGAAGCTCAGTGCTCCAAGGGCAGGTTGGCTGAGGCCAGTGAGTCTAACCTCAGCACACAGTAACCAGCAGGAATAGAATGAAGAATATGCCACAGAAAAAAATTGAGGCCTGAATTATTCTAGGAAGAAACAACAACAAAAAGTGATAAGAGCAACACGGAAAAACAACTCCGATCTGAGCTACCAAGGAAATCTTACATTTTTAAAATTATTTTTTACTAGAGGTTTGGTGCACGAAATTCGTGCACTGGGGTGGGGGGATCCCCCAGCATGGCCTGTGCCCTCTCACAGTGCGGGAGCCGGTGATGGATTGCCCCAGAGGGAGGCCCCGCCCCCCCATCCAGGGCTCCTCGATGGATTGCCCCAGAGGGAGGCCGGAGCCGCTGGGACCCGCCTCCGCGCTGTGCACACAGCGTTAAGTCCCCGCCCACCCGCACACGCAACCTCCTGGTGATGGACTGTGACGGCGTGAGGGCACCACGGCGTGATGGCGAGATGGCCATTTGCATGTTAGCTCTTTATTATATGGGACTGATTTCAGAGAAGGAGGCGGGGGGAGAGAAAGAAACATCAATGACGAGAGAGAATCATTGACCCGCTGCCTCCTGCACGCCCCCTATTGGGGATCTAGCCTGCAAGCCGGGCCTGTGCCCTGACCTGGAGTCGAACCGTGACCTCCTGGTTCATAGGTCAACGCTCAGTCACTGAGCTCCTCTGGCCGGGTGGACATCTTAATTTTTAATTAACCTTGGGGAGTAGCTGTCACCTCTACCCACGTGCAGCTTTAAACTACTGACAACAGAGTGTTCCTAGGAGCGTCGCCGAGCTGCTGACCCAGAGACATTCTGTCACCAGGAAAGCCTCTTCCCGGGAAAGCATGCGCTGACTCTGTGTACTTACTGGGGAGGCTGACACCTGCGTTATTCGCAACTGGTTTTCCAGATCCTGTACTTTGTTTTTAAGCTCCACGTTTTCTGTTTCCAAGTCTTGAATCTAAAAGGCAAATGATCATTGGACAGACCTTCAGAAAAGGATTCCTGGGAAACGTCGGCTCTGATAATAACTGCGTTCACGAGTGGGATTCCCTGTTGTTTCCATTGCAATGTGCTGCCTGGTATTATTAAATGAAGCTGGGGGAGTACAGAGTGCTGGGTCCCCGGGCAGACCTATGACGCTTAGAGTGTTTTTACACGTGTGCACCAGGCATGTTCCTAATCCCTCGTCTGTGCTCCCTGGGGCGCGGTGCAGCCTGGCCCGTAACCTTGGAGAGTAACCGCAGGCCGGGGAGGCGCTGGCGGCGGCGGGAAGAGCGTGGAGAGGTGGCCGTTCAGGCGCGGGCCGGGCCTGCGTGGGAAACCACTTACCCGGCCTCGGCTGCTGCTGCTGCTCTGATCCCCGTGAGAAGCATCAGGAGTGAAGCAGAGTCACATGAGACACTACGCTCTTGCGGGAATCCAACACGAAACCGTTAACGACCGCGCGCCGTGGGCGGGTGATGGTGGGAGGGACACGGGACAGCATGGGGGGGGGGGACGGACGGCGGCCTGCCAGGTCTGCCTGCTGACATGGGGTCTCCCTGTGCTGACGCCACATGCGACATGACCCGCGCAGTTTACTCACTCTTTTCTGGAGCCCTGCGATCTGTTTTCTAGTTTCGACATCCTTGCCTCCAGATTCTAGAAATTTCCGGTATGCCAGGTTGAACGCTTGGCCGATGGTTAAAGTGATCTCTTCCGCCTTCACACGAATAAAACAAAGGAGGTCTGCCTTAGTGGTCAGTGTCAGGCTGCTCTGTGAACCAAGACAAGCATCCCCATCGGTACTTCCGAGGGCAGCAGCTGGGGGGAGGGGAGCGGAAACGAGCAGAGTTCTCGCTGCTGAGTAACAGCTCGATGCCTCCCCATGCACGATGTAAAAAAATAACGTGCCCCGCGCGGCTCAGGGGTTGAGCATCGACCTATGAGCCCGGAGGTCACGGTTTAAGTCCCAGTGAGGACACAGGCCTGGGTTGCGGGCTCGATCCCCAGTGTGGGGTGTGCAGGAGGCAGCCGATCAATTATTCTCTCTCATCACTGATGTTTCCATCTCTCTTTCCCTCTCCTTTCCTTTCTGAGATCAATAAAAATAGATTAAAAAAATAAGACACACACACACACTGACTTATGATATTAACATGAAGTTGGGTAAAGTCATTAATTGAACGCTTCACAAACATCACCCCAACGCAACCACATAGGCCCGGGAATCTCTCTTTTAATGAGCATTACATTATAAATTCAATTTCCTTTATATTTATAGCTACAGGCTATGCAAATTAATACAATTAAGAGCAAATAAAACCTTGAGGTAAAAATAATACAATGAAACTTTGAGGAAACAGTCCTCGTTGAGCTCATTCATGGAGGTGACGCTAACTTGAGGTTGGAGTGGGAGCTCGGACCCTTGCTTCCCGAAGCCCAGACTCCATCCCCCTGCAGCGGAATTACTGGCGAATGAGTGACCCGTAGATTCCCTGCCCGCCAGCCGATCAACATGAACTTGTTTTTTGAGGTGGAAACCGAAGAGCTCTGCTTTGAAAGGCCCCCTTCTGAGTGCTGAGCACACAGACGGTGTGAGCCATCCCTGCAGGCTCCACGTTTTCAGCCTTGGAAAACGCCATGCGCATACGCTGTCTTCAGAGAGAATAATGCATCAAGGAATTACAATTACGGAAGTCGGTGACAAACAGTGATGATCGGGTAGCGATAAAGTCAGGGATTCTGGCAAGCTTATGTTTAAACGGTCACATAAGCAATTTGATGGGGATCAAATGAAGAGAAAGAAGCACTTGACACAAAGCCGTAGAAGGCTCATGTTCATAATGATCTCTCCTATCAATGTTTCAAAAGACCCCAAGGAAGTTCATTTCCATGCGTAGGACAAGAAAGACAACCAAGTGCACTGCTCGGTGTAGGCCAGTGATGGCGAACCTTCTGAGCTCGGCGTGTCAGCATTTTGAAAAACCCTAACTTAACTCTGGTGCCGTGTCACATAGAGAAATTTTTTTGATATTTGCAACCATAGTCAAACAAAGACTTATATTTTTGATATTTATTTTATATATTTAAATGCCATTTCACAAAGAAAAATCAACCAAAAAAATGAGTTCGCGTGTCACCTCTGACACGCGTGTCATAGGTTCGCCATCACTGGTGTAAGTGGTAAAGGCTAGTCCATCTCACACACAGAAGATCCACTTTAGCCTTCTCGGTCACACAGGGAACATCTGCAAGCAATCACGGTTAAGCAGCACTTGGAGCATTAAACATAATGCATCCACTCAATAGGATACATTGCAAAAACCACTGGGACTGCACAGAAAATTCCTTATTGTGCACACAGCACTTCTCATGTGGGTAAGCATAGCTTTTTCTGACGAAATGTTCTATAATGTTCATCAAATTCTCAAAACATATTTGGATGCCAATTAGGTTAGCACATTAATTTGCCTTTTTAAAGAGCACCATAGTCTAAAAGATACAGATGTTAGCATGTTCTAGTGAAAGATGGCCTTTTTCTTTAAAGAGAAATTCGCTGAGTGTCTATTGTCCACCTGTTGTAGGACTTAGGTGGACAAATAAAAAAAGCGTTTGTTTTCAAGAAGCTCACATACGGAAAACAGAAATAACTGCGTGAGGGTGACAATCACACTAGTCCTCTGACAGCTATGGCAGCCTGAGCAATGAGCAAATGCATGAATTAAGCTCTTTTCCTGTCTCAGCCAAGAATGTTGCCGAGGTGAGACGTTCTTCCTTCGTTGAAGACATTAGTGGATGAGCGTCACCCAGGCACCACGAGGTCACCGTTCCGATTCCCGGTCAGGGCACAGGCCCTGGCTGCAGGCCTGGTCCCCAGCAGGGGCGTGAGGGGGGTGCAGGAGGCAGCTGATCGAAGTTGATGATTCTCTCTCATCATTGATGTTTCTATCTCCCTCTCCCACTCCCTTTCTCTTTATCTAAAATCAATAAAAACATACTTGAGAAAGAAAAAGCCATTGATGGCTGCAACGTGTCTTGGAATTCACATCTTATGCTTTACAACAGGACCTCGGACTATTGATTAGCATTAGCTTATGCTTATAATCAAGACCCAGGGTTTTCCTTTAGATTCAAGAAGATTAAAGAATCATTGCAGAACTTAACTTTAGAATTCCCTGACCGCCCTCACCTGCTGGGAACTTTAGATGACGCTCACAAGTGAACACTCGCCCCCATGTACAGGCGCACACATGCGCTCACACCTTCCCCGATTCCACTACCTTTCACTATGGTAAGCTTTCTGAGTAATGAAAATGAAGAACCATGTTTTCAAAGTGTCGGCTATTTTTAAAGAAGTCGCACAGACGTTATTTCCTGGAGTTTAACATCTTTCTTCGTGTCAGATCCATTAACACTCCAGAAAAGACGAACTCCGCTGACCATCACTCTGCATTATGTGCACATTCCTAAATCATACCTGAGATTAAAATCACAAATAGGTGAAATGATTCTAAGATAAATGAGTGCACAGCATAAGCAGCGCTGGCGCTCTAGGAGACGCAGTTTGCATGCGAGCCTGCGTGCCTGACACGAGAATTCAGTTACGGACGGGATCCTGCAGGCCGGCTGGGGCAGGACGGGCCCATTAGCGAGTTTAAGTAATTACAGGCCTCGCTCGCGTCCCAAGACCTAACTAACGCCGGAAGCAAGACATTCCTGGACCGTAACACGACAGCCCCCCCCACGACACCTGCATACGTACACACTTCTCGCTGTCAAAGACGTAGCACAGGTGCTTATTGGACTCGGAATCTTTGCAGATGAAAGTGAAGATCCTCTTGTCCGTCTTATCATCGGCGCAGAACGATATTCGGTGCAGCTGGCAGTTGTGCTGGACTTCCTGCGAACACACACAAACACACACGTGAACACACACAAACACACATGAGGGGCTGGTCCATTCCCTGAACACCAGCTGGTGCTGGACTTCCTGCGAACACACACAAACACACATGAGGGGCTGGTCCATTCCCTGAACACCAGCTGGTGCTGGACTTCCTGCCGTGTGGGCAGATGTCATGTGGGCCCAGGTGCCGTGGGGAGAGACAGCAAGGGCCCGCCACCTGCTGCCCCGGGGAGACCCGCGGAGGCGGCCACGGCAGCCGCTAGGCAGCGCGGAACCAGCTCCGCTGTCAGACGGCAGGTCCGAGGGCTCATGGCGGCAGCCCTGGTGACAGGACACGCTGACCATGTCCACAGGCAGCAGGCAGCCCAGGGCCTTTCCAGAAACAGCACCAGCCTCCGCTTCCTTCCTACTCAGAGACCCACTCCTCACGCGTCTCTCCCAGCCCCGGAGGGGCCCTGAGACCAGACTCCCAGGGCTCATGCGCCCAGCGGGGCCCGAGCCGCTCACACCGGCAGCACAGGCCCCGGAGCGCAGGCCCAGCGCCCCCGCAGAACCCCAGGGCTAAGCGGCCGTCAACTGGGAACCTCAGTTCCAACCGGTAGCAAACATCACGTATCTATTAAAACGGGAATCTAACCACAAGGAAAGATTCGAGAGGGTCTGACATTCAAAAATGAGCCTTACCTTGGTTTTGGGTTCTAGAATTTTTACTCCATAAATTGATATTTGCAACTCAACTTTCGGAATTTTCTGGCCTTCAGATTTCTTGATATGTCTTGCAAACTACAAATGAAAAATTATTCACAAAATTATAATTGTTTCTATGAAGAATGAACACACACAAATATATATATACATATATATATGAAGTTTGTATTGTGTTGAACTTTTCATTAAATTCTTGCCCATTATAAAGTATTTTATAAATCCCCCATAACCTCAAAATATTTAGAAGTCACAGTACCTATCATGACATCCTGAAAATCAGATTGATTCCCAGTAACTTTTAGAAACCACCGTTAACCTGCTTTGACCGTGGCATCTATAAACGTGTATTCACGCCGGCTGAGAAAACGAAAACTTGGTGGGAAGATAAGCAGAGATCAATTTTTTCCCTGTGGACCTTTTTTTTTTTTAATTAACACGTTTATTTTTTTGTTTGCTTGTTACTCCAAGGATATTTTTCCATTGAGTTTTTTAGAGAGCGTGGAAGGGAGGGAGGGAGACAGAGAGAGAGGAACATCCATGTGAGAGAGACACATCGACCGGTTGCTCCCGGGGATCGAGCCTGCAACCCAGGCACATGCCCTTGACTGGAATCGAACCCGAGACCCTTCACTCGGAGGCCGATACTGTATCCACGGAGCCGGACCGCCCTCGACCTTTTGTTGGTAGTGCGGGAGGAGAACGTGCCCCCGGGGCTGCTGGCCCGGCCTTCCCTTTCCAGATGCTTCTTTGGTGCACGTCCTCCCCAATCAAATCCACGAATAAAATGAAACCGATTCCCACACGCGAAGTCAAGCTAAGAACGGAGCAATCACCACCAGCGCAGCCTCAGAGCGGAGGCCCAGTGGGCTTCCTGCCACCACGGGCCTTCCAAGACGCTTCACGGCAGGGGCGCCGGCGCCGCTGGCTGGAGCGCAGGTGCAGTGAATGCCTGGTTCTGTTACAGAACCGCCCGGAGGCCGGGGCAGCCACGCGCCCCGTGGGGGATGTCTCCGCTCTGCCCACGCGGACTTAGTGCCGGGAACAGGCCTGCAGGGGCCCGTCACACCGGACACTGAACAACGTTAGTTTTAAGGATTTGCTTTAGAACACACACCACTGACACACGCTGCTTCCTGTGAGCGCGCCCCGCGCAGTACTCGGGACACGGCTACTAAGGACAGTACTCATGGCTTCACTGAGTCCCAGCTGACGGGGCGCCCTCAAGGGTCCACGCTGCTCCTCTCCCTGCGTGCCTGCCCCCCCCCCTTTCTTTGTAAGACATGGAAACGGGGAGAAAGAACTAAGGGAGAGAATCGGACTTCTTCGCCCCCTTTAGCGCCTTCTCAGCATGTGGCTCATCCTGGCCTGACTCACAGCACCGAGCAGGGCAGGGTTCGGCTCCTGTGTGTGTGTGTGTGTGTGTGTGTGTGTGTGTGTGTGTGTGCTGTGGGCACCAGCCTCTAACTCGGGGCAGACCTGACTGCAGGGGTGCAGTCCCCCGGGGTACAGTCCCCTGGAGCAGAGAGGCCAAGGCCTCCCCCCTGTGGCCTGTGGGGGGCGTTGGCTTTATTCTCTCGGGTGGGATTCTGCACATGAATTCCACTAATTCGGGCCAGAGGGTTTTGATTTTTTTTTTTCTTGAAGAGATTTGTTCTGCTTTATGAGAATCGTGAAAATCACCCCGGCTATCGCCCAAAGAGAGAGGATGGGTGTGTGGGTGTCCCCCCCCCCCCCCGCACCCCAGCCCCAGTCTCCTTCCCGCATTGAATGAGCGCCCTGGGATGTGCCGGGGTGGCTTTCACCATCACCCGCCATGTGGGACCGGGGACCGGTGACCAGCCGTCTGGGCTGCCAGACTCCTCGGCCTCCCGGCCGCTCCCTCCTCCCACAGGGACGAGCAGCGGCCGCCCACCTTCCCACAGCTGCACCCACACTCCCGGGACCCCTCCTGGTTCCCCAAGGGCTGGCACAGAACACCCACCAACAGCAACCCGTCTGCTGAGCTATTGCTTTTCTGCCAGAAAAAAAATAAGAAGGGAAGAAGGAATGCAGAAAGGAGGTGGGGGTGGGAGGCAGGAAAAACAGACGGAGGCCAGGAGGGGAAACACAGAGGGAGACAAAGGAAAATCAACATCAAGTATCTGGTCTGAGGCATGTGGAGGCCTGGCCTCTGCTTCACGTGAGAGGAAGGGATTGTGTTTAGGGACTCACAGGTCACCCGAGCCAGGACCTGGTTCCTGAATGGTGGGTAGCGGTCAGGTCTGAACCTAGCTCTGCGGCCACCCATCACTAAACGACTCTTCTCTTGCACACAGATTTTCTGCGTTTAAAAAACAAACTTCTTGTCTGGCTGGCGTGGCCCAGTGGTTGAGTGTCCACCCAGGAACCAGGAGGCCACTAGTTCGATTACGGGTCAAGGGCACAGGCCTGGGTTGCAGGCTCCATCCCAGCAGGGGCCGTGCAGGAGGCAGCCGACCAGGGATTCTCTCTCATCATTGATGTTTCCATCTCTCTCTCCCTCTCTCTCTAAAATCAATAAGAAATATTGAAAAACAAACTAAACAGCGTCTCGTTACAGAGAGAGACTGAAGTCGAATGAAAAGGCTGCTGGATTAGATTTCACAGAAGTTGGGAGTTATTCCTGAGCCCGCGGTCCTGGCTTCTCCTATGGACTGAGTCCTTCAAAACTGACACTAATTGTGTTTATAAAAATAAATAGATACTATTCAAATTAAATTCCTTACAAAAACACTGGTATTAGATAGAAGTTGAAAGGGCTTTTAAATTGTCAGACTTTATAGAATTTGGTATTTTCTTACATCTCAGGCTAAAACATACTCAAGAAATATAAAATATGATGTTTCAACAAATACATACTCGTTTACAAAAATTTTTACATTTTAGAAAAATTTATAAACTATAAATTCTCCACAAAATGGCAGAGAAGTGGCATACAATAAAATAGATCAGTTTTTAAAATCTTCCTGAAAGTTATCAGGCATAATTAAACAGAGCAGCATGAAAAATAAATTACTGAAAAAGTTTTAAGTTTTCCATCGTATTGCATTGATCCTAAAATTCTCATTCTTTTTAAGTCAAAGGCCAACATATTAATATGGCAAACTTTTAAAAACTTTAGTAACTATAAAATGCTACCTTAGCCAAAGCAAGTGGAATAAAATCCTTCACTGGAGTGGGTAACAGGGCAGTCAGAATGCGGATGACTAAGAAAAATAAGCAGGAAATTAAATGAGGGAGGTGGCCACAATGCGAGCACATTTATTTTTAAGTGGAGCCACAGCGCCACCCTCTGGCCATTTCAGCATAACAGCAGAATTAAACATTCTTTTAAAAAAATATAAACAATATACTTGGATTTGTGGCCTCTAACAAACACACACAGAAGAATTTAAAAACACGTGAAAAACACTGCTCCATTCATTTTCCTTGGCTCCCGAGTTATCACCCTCAATATACTTCCCAAATCTAAGTATTATTTGCAATCACCCAAGTGAAAATGGCTTCGCACAAGCACGTTTGTTCCGGAAGGTCCTGGGAAGGCTGAGCCACTACCACCTGGCCGTGCGTTTTTAAACGGCGCCAGGTAACGTGTGTCTTCCTGTCAACCACCTCCCGTCCTTAAGAGAGAACCTTTCAAACGTAACACTACGTCGGAACTGCGTATAAAGTCCCACAAAAACACGCGCGTGGCCCAAGTAGGCTTACCGCTGTGAGTACACAAAACAGCGAGTTTTTCATGCGTTATTATTTATTAACTATCGTATTATTTTCCATAATAACAACCGTAGGCCCATTTTTGCCCCCTGCTGTGCATAGAAACTAGCTTTGTCTCCAAAGCATTTCATTTCAAGTATCTCTTTGCATTTTATCTGGCCATGATGTGAGTGAGTCCTTTCGGTCTGGGGTTTGGGGTGACGGAATAGAGGCCCCCCTAGATACGAAGAAACACTGCGGTTAATGCCATTATTCCTTTATAAAACACTCTGATAGTCAGGGGAGCTGGGCTCCTGCTCAGCGCGTAAAGCATTCTGAACAGGGAAACACGTATTCTGCATGCTGCCCATGAACTGAGACCTTTTATTAGTAATGTCTCCATCAGCGCTGAGGAGTGCTGGCCTAGGAAGGGCAAGTCTGCATCCTCCCTACTGGTCGGCAGGAAGAAATGGCTGCCTCGCTTTCCCCCCAAAGGGGAGTGACATCACCTTGGGACCTCACAGCCTATTTACTTAAAACATGAGGACTGCCAGAACTGGTTTGGCTCAGTGGATAGAGCGTCAGCCTGCGGACTGAAAGGTCCCAGGTTCGATTCCGGTCAAGGGCATGTGCCTGGGTTGCGGGCACATCCCCGGTAGGAGATGTGCAGGAGGCAGCTGATCGATGTTTCTCTCTCATCGATGTTTCTAACTCTCTATCTCTCTCCCTTCCTCTCTGTAAAAAATCAATAAAATATATTTAAAACAAACAAACAAACAAACAAACAAAAACCATGAGGACGAATATCTGCAGATAAAATGAATACAGAAAAGTATTATCCATTTCGGTTCTTCACCCAGAACATAAGCCGCCCCACCCCCATCTGTCCGCAGACTGAACGCTCAGGCTCCGCCTGACGCAGCCCCCAAGCAGAGCAAAGCTGGGCCCGTCCGTGGATTCGCCTGGGCGATCGGAAGCCTCACTCTCCGAAACAGGGTGAAATAGAGAACAGCTGCTGCTCACAAAGCAAAGCCCTGAGAGCAGCGGGGAGGAGCAGTGACCTGTACACATGAGGTAAACTGAGTCTGTATCTAATGTCGTCAATAGGTTCTCAACAGGCACAACAATTTATAATGAGACCAATTTCACCAGAGGCTGGCTGACCGCAACTCCAGCTCAGTCCCATGGCATCTCATCAGTGTTACAACAAAATGACATTGAGCCTGGCCGGCGGGGCTCAGTGGTTGAGCGTTGATCTATAAACCAGGAGGTCAGGGTTCCATTCCCGGGCAGGGCACATGCCTGGGTTGCGGGCTCCATCCCTAGTAGGGGGCATGCAGGAGGCAGCCGATCAATGACTCTCTCATCATTGATGTTTCTATCTCTCTCCCTCTCCCTTCCTCTCCGAAATCAATAAAAATATATATTTTAAAAACAACATTGAATGAAAGATGTTATCCGAGGGCCTGTGGTTTAGTGGGATGTTAGATTTTCTTAGTAAGATAGAGATGAGAAGTCTGAGGGAAGCAATGAAGTGTCCACTGATGAATGAATAGGTAAAGAAGATGTGACATATGTGTGAATATTACTCAGCCTTTTATAAAAAAGGGACATCTTGCCATGTGAGACATGGGTGGACCTTGAGGGCATTATGCGAAGTGAACCAAGTCAGGCAGCAAACGACGAGTATCACACGGTCTCATATGCAGAATCCAAAACAAAAATAGCCCACAGACCGCGGGCTGAGAGGCAGGGGCGGGCGTGGGCAATGGCTAAAGGGAGCACAGAGGTGCAAACTGCAGGTACACAATCAGGTAAGTCCCGGGTGTAAGTTCATAATCTATACTGATAAAAGTGTAATATGCTCATTAGACCGGACAGCCGAACGACCTTCCGGACGAAGCCGGGGCTGCGAGGGACAAGGGCAGCTGCCGCAGCTGTGAGGGCCAAGCCCCTTGCACAAATTGCGTGCATCGGGCCTCTAGGACTGCGTATCTGAAAGTTGCTAAGAGAGTAGAACTGAGTTTTCATCAGAGAGGAAGGGAGAGGGAGAGAGAGGGAAACATCAGTGATGAGAGAGAATCATGGATCGGCTGCCCCCTGCACGCCCCTCACTGGGGATCGGGCCCACAAACCGATTCATGGGTTGATGCTCAACCACTGAGCCATGCAGGCCGGGCTGACAGTCTAACTATTAAACAGTTGTTACATCAGTAGCAGCTGGGTTAGAGCATGTGGCCCAGGCCAGGTAAAGGCAAGCTAGTGAAGCCAAACTTGTGGAATACTGCCTTTCCGTTGTTAAGTATGAGCAACTGCACTTAGAAAACTATGACGTGTGCCATACTGAAAACGAATAATTATGTGTTCACACTTATTATGAAGCATTTTTCCTTAATCTGGTGATATTTATTCAAGTGTCCATTTTTAACAGGGGAAGCCATTTCTACCACCAAGGTATTCCCATCAGTCTGATGATGACTTAAACTGGATCAGCACACCAGCAGTTGGGGGGGGTGTGTCGGGGGGAGAGGGACACGGGGCTCGCCTACCTTCAGCTTCCTCACAGCGTCCCGCACGACCTCGGTGCCTTTGGGCTGCTCCACCTCCGTGCTGCCAAGAAACTAAGAGAGGCCATCGGTGAGACAGGCTGTACCATCGCCTGGTGTCACACCACTAGGACTAAACCTGGCACAATAGATGGATGCGGGTTCATGCAAACCCAAATCCCACTACACGGAAAAGTCATGCACATTCTTTTAAATTCTATGAAAATGTCAATATATGATTTGATCACATAAATTCTTACTATTTAATTAATAAAACTCATCTACCTTTTAAAATACAAACTTTTAAAATACCCAATACCTACCATCCACCAAAGCTACAAGCCAAACTACATTAAAAATAAATAAATAAAACATACAGCCTGGCCAGTGTTGCTCAGTGGTTGAGCATTGGCCTATCAGTTAGGAGGTCCCGGTTCAATTCCCGGTCAGGGCACAGGCCCGGGCTGCAGGCTTGATCTCCAGTGTGGGACGTGCAGGAGGCAGCCAATCATTGATTATCTCTCATCATTGATGTTTCTACCTCTCTCTCCTTTTCCCTTTCTCTCCAAAGTCAATAAAAATGTATTTTAAAAAATAAAACATAGATGATCTGCAATTTTACTCTATTTTCAAATATACCTGAAGGGTTTTTAGTTAAAACATCTGTAATACTTTCAACAATAAAGATAAATTTAAGACAACAACAACACACAAAACAACTTGATCTATCAAAAAAAAAGTTTCATAAAATCTTCTATCCTGGAGAGAATTAATACCTCCGAAACAAAAGTCCGATATCATAATATGTTGAAGACCAAGTCAAATTGAAATATGAGTATTTTCTTCTATAAAATATTTCTATATAAATAGCAAATAATTATTAAATTAATTAAGTGTATGTAATTCCCCAAAGACGTTTTTTGTGACATACTACCAATTACTAGTATACCCCAACGTGAGTCATGAATTCGTCACTTCTCATATCAATAAGTGTGTATGTGTACACGTGTGTGTGTGTGCGTGCGCACGCTTCACATAAAATGATTAAGTACCACTCCCTCCCCCCCATTTTTAAGTTTAATTGTGTTGGGGTAACATGAGTTGCTAGCATTGCACAATGTCAGGTGTACAAGGTTATCGCTGACATCCGTGTGCTCTGTTCTGGCCCCACAGACGGCCAGCCTCCTGTCTCCACACGCCTGGCCCCTTGCCCACTCGCCTCCCTCCACCTCTCTCCCCTCCGTAGCCTCTCTCTGTTGCCTGTACCTTTGAGTGTGTTTTGTTTGCTTTGTTAGTTTATTCATTGCTTTTTGTTTTCTATTCCTCACAGGAGTGACATCCTACGGCTTGTTGTTCTTTTCGTGGCTGAGCACGCCCCTTTCTGTGACTCAGCCCAGGGAGCGAAGGGAACACATAGGTAACGTCACAGTGTCTTTTCAAATCGCACTGACTCCTCCCGTCCTTCATGAAATAAGTGACGGCTAGGGAAAGCAGACTCCGGGTTTTCAACGGGCTCCCTGCCTCGCCCGCCTGGGAACACGGGGAGCAGGTTACAACGGGGATGCAGGTGCGGGGCAGGGCGGGGCGGTGCTCATCAAGCTCGCAGGGTCTCTGCACTCCCGCCCAAGGGGCAGCTCGGACACAGGGACAGCCAGCGAGACAGGAGCAGCAGGCGCGCCACTGCGTCGGGCCCCGGCTACGTCAGCACTCGCCCTCGCCACACCAGCACTCGCCCTCGCCACGCCAGCACTCGCCCTCGCCACATCAGCACTCCCCCTCGCCACGCCAGCACTCGCCCTCGCCACGCCAGCACTCGCCCTCGCCACGCCAGCACTCGCCCTCGCCACGCCAGCACTCGCCCTCGCCACGCCACGCCCGCACTCGCCCTCGCCACGCCCGCACTCGCCCTCGCCACGCCAGCACTCGCCCTCGCCACGCCAGCACCCGCCCTCGCCACGCCAGCACCCGCCCTCGCCACGTCAGCACTCCTCCTCGCCACGTCAGCACCCGCCCTCGCCACGGCAGCACCCGCCCTCGCCACGTCAGCACCCGTCCTCGCCACGTCAGCACTCATCCTCGCCACGGCAGCACCCGCCCTCGCCACGTCAGCACCCGCCCTCGCCACGTCAGCATTCCTCCTCGCCACGTCAGCACTCCTCCTCGCCACGCCAGCACTCGCCCTCGCCACGCCAGCACCCGCCCTCGCCACGTCAGCACCCGCCCTCGCCACGGCAGCACCCGCCCTCGCCACGTCAGCACCCGTCCTCGCCACGTCAGCACTCATCCTCGCCACGGCAGCACCCGCCCTCGCCACGTCAGCACTCGCCCTCGCCACGTCAGCACTCCTCCTCGCCACACCAGCACTCCTCCTCGCCACGCCAGCACTCGCCCTCGCCACGCCAGCACTCGTCCTCGCCACGTCAGCACTCGCCCTCGCCACGTCAGCACTCGCCCTCGCCACGCCAGCACTCCTCCTCGCCACGCCAGCACTCGCCCTCGCCACGTCAGCACTCCTCCTCGCCACGCCAGCACTCATCCTCGCCACGCCAGCACTCGCCCTCGCCACGCCAGCACTCCTCCTCGCCACGTCAGCACTCCTCCTCGCCACGTCAGCACTCCTCCTCGCCACGCCAGCACTCGCCCTCGCCACGCCAGCACTCCTCCTCGCCACGTCAGCACTCCTCCTCGCCACGTCAGCACTCCTCCTCGCCACGACAGCACTCATCCTCGCCACGCCAGCACTCGCCCTCGCCACGCCAGCACTCCTCCTCGCCACGTCAGCACTCCTCCTCGCCACGCCAGCACTCCTCCTCGCCACACCAGCACTCGCCCTCGCCACGTCAGCACTCCTCCTCGCCACGCCAGCACTCATCCTCGCCACGTCAGCACTCGCCCTCGCCACGTCAGCACTCCTCCTCGCCACGTCAGCACTCCTCCTCGCCACGGCAGCACTCGCCCTCGCCACGTCAGCACTCCTCCTCGCCACGCCAGCACTCATCCTCGCCACACCAGCACTCGCCCTCGCCACGTCAGCACTCCTCCTCGCCACGTCAGCACTCCTCCTCGCCACGTCAGCACTCCTCCTCGCCACGCCAGCACTCATCCTCGCATTCATCCTCCCTACGTCAGCATCCATCCTCGCCTCCGGGGCTGGCCTACAGGGACCAGAACGCGTGGGGAACTTGCTGTCAGGAAGGAACGGAGGACCCGCGGCTCAGATGTGGGAGGCCTGCTCCCCACCGAGCACCCACGCCCGTGACTTCTGCTTCAGACCCGGTACTGACCTGACCTGTCTGCTGCAGGACAGAAGCACTCGGGGCTGTGACCTCAGCCCAGGGCCCAGGCGCCTAGCGCCATTGGTGGGTCGTACCAGGGCATCCCTGTGTGTTTCCCAGCTCCCCAGGGTGTGCGTCAGGTGGGAAAGTCCTGTTTTAGCCCGGCCGGTGGGGCTCAGTGCTGAGCATCGACCCATGAACCAGGACGTCACGGTTGGATTCCCGGTCAGGGCACAGGCCCAGGTTGTGGGTTCGATCCCCAGTGCAAGGTGTGCAGGAGGCCACCAATCCATGATTCTCTCTCACCACTGATGTTTCGATCTCTCCCTCCTTCTTCTTTCCTCTCTGAGATCAATAAAAATATATTTAAGAAAGAAAAAAGAGAGAGGGAGAGAAAGAAAAAAGGAAGGAAGGGAGGGAGGAAGGCAAGGAGAAAGGGAAGGAGGGAGGGGAGGGGGCGAGGAAGGTAGGCAGGTGCTGTTTGGACCATCCAGGAAGGAGAAAGGGTTCAAGTGAAGGAAGGTTGGCACCAAGGGGCCATGTAGTTGCGAGCCAGGCCGGGTGCGCTCCTGCCCTCGGCGTCTGACCTTCTCCCTGAGCTTCTCCCGCGGGGGTGGGCGGCTGGAGCTCACAGCACCAGCGAGGCCGGAGGCTCTCACCGGCAAGGGGCTCTTCACGGCGGAAGGACTGGCGTGTCCCTAACGGACTGTGAGGGCCCGGGAACACCTGCAGGAGGGCGCCCATGCTGGGCAGAAACTCCGGAGCCAGGGGACGCTGTGCAGACAGGCCCGCGTGGGATGAGGGGCCGGGGCCTCCTCCATGGCCGTCCTGCTGCCTCGGGGCCCGCACAGTCGCCGTCACGCCCGCTGTCATGAGGCCCCTGAGCCGCGGGACACGGAGGAGCCCTGGGAGGTGGGCACAGCCACAGGGACACCGGCAGCGCTCACCCTAACGCACTCCTCTGTGACGTCAGCTGCCCTAAATGCAAACAACTTCAAACTGAGAAGTGGGCCCAGCTGGCTCAGGGGTTGAGCATCGACCTATGAACCAGGAGGTCACGGTTCCATTCCTGACAATGTGGACAGGAAAGAAGATATAGTACAAAGGGGGCATTTATTTAGAATGTGTTAGACTATGACAAGCAAGAAGACGCACTGAACTATGTGACAACAGGGCATGTATTTCAAATAAATGTTACAAATGATGAAACGCCTTCTTTGAATCTTCTACAAAGACTCCGACAGGTCAGAGGACACTGCCGACGCTGTGAAAGCTTGTTCCGTGTTCGTGCAGACACCCAGCCGCTCAGCGCACAGGGAGGACCGGGGCTGCCGTCTGTCAGCACCGAACACACCGAGAGCCGCCCGACCCTCTGACTCGCGGAATACGGGCAGACTTGGCTTAAGACGCTATGAAGAGGTGGAGGGGTCATGGGGGGAGGGGGAAGTCATCTGTAATACTTTCAACAATAAAGACACATTTAAAAAATGCTATTAAGACAGTTCATATTCAGCTTAATATTTTCCGAAATTTCCACAGCTATTTTCAATTACTTAAAATGGTACAGGCTTTTAAAAGACGAGTCTCTGGTGATGCCTGTCCTCATTGAGTCCGTGTCTGTTATCGTGTCCCGCACACAAGCGCTTTGGGGGAGCCCGAGTTACAGCTGGAGGCGTCCGCCTGAATCTGAAACTGCCTTTTCCCCTCATCAGTCAAGGCTAGTCGCCGCCTGGCTGGCTCCTTCGCCAGCAGAGGGCAGTGTGGGCCGTCACACGGGCCCGTTATACTGCCTGGCTGGCT